GTTGAGCAAATGTGTTTGATGAACTAAATCGCATGAGATTGTAAGGTGGTCGTGAACAATCATAATTGTAAGATCTAATTGTAAAATAATTGTAAGATATAATCGTAAGTATGACTGTGAATTGTAAAATAATTCTGATTTGGAATCGTTTAAGAATAGGACATTTCGAACCTCTCGTATTCAAGACGCTCTTGATTTCCCCATGCTCCAACGGTGTGCTCTAGGAGATGTTTAACAGTTATCAAATTCATGAACTGATTCCGATGCGACGTGTTTGCATGATCCGCATGATCAAACTTGTGACCAAGTATGGAGCCGTCGTCAAAAACTCTAGCGTCGATTGTTTTCAGAAGGCCTTTATCGAGAAGTCGTTGAATTGCCATCGCTGTGAGAACCTTACTGATACTTGCTGTCCTATATTTACTGTACGGTGTTGCCTTTAATGAAAGTTGCCACATAAGAATGTTAAAATTTTCAGTGTCACTCGTTGAGAAGCGGGCGAGTTGCGGCAGGCAAAGTAGAATTTTTGCAGGACTTTCTGGCGATTCATTAAACAAAAGTACAAAAAAATGTTTGAAAAAACAACGAGCACAGTAATTGCGTTTCAAAGCTAATTCCATGTTCAGTAATTCGACTCTATCAATAATCTTTTTGCACTTTTGATGCACTCCGCTCTTTTTTTTCATCAGTGAAGTTCCATCACACTTGCGATGATCGATACTCACGAATTGAGTGGAATTCAGAAACTGACTGCACATTTTTGAAATTAATTCACCACACGGGCTTTCTTATGGCTGGGACTTCACAGAATTCAGCGTTTGATTCTGAATGTGAGTTTTATGTGTGGTGAAAGCATAAAAACTACATGAATGAATATGTATACATTGCGCAGTTGACGTATATCTGCATAGCCGTAGGATTTTGAGATTTGCACGCCTTTTTCGGTGATCACCGAGATTGATAGCGATGGGATTTCCTCGAACAACATCATTTGCTCGATTTGTTGATCGAGCAAAGAATTGATCCGATAATGATCAAGAGAACTCTGATGGTTTTGCCGTCGACTTCGCCATCTAGACGCTGTCGATGTTGTTGTTATCGGTATTTCATGATTTAGCCATGAAAATGCGACACCCAACCAAATAATATAGAATACTAGTTGGCCTGTATCGGTGGTGCGCATTGCCGACACACGGCTCACGGTCATTTCGGAATTTTTCATTTGCTCTTGCATCAACTTCAAATCTGTGTCGGTCTGTATTCGATACTCTATACTCGTCCTACTCTTCTTCCAAATTCCAATACAGTATTCCAAACCTTCATTCGTGAATACCTAAAAGCGCACTCGTCATCTCTGATCATGATCATGACGTCTTTAGATGATCATTCATGGATATAACTATATGAAAAATGCTTGATGATGATGGAAAACTGTGGAGAATTTTCATTTCGATAAGGAGAAACTGTTTAAATGAGAAAGACTCCAGCAGAAAGATTCCAGCATAAGGAGAAAGTCACATAGAAGAAACAGTAGATGATATGGCAAAGTCAAACCTCGAAAAGATGCGCATAGTAGTTCTCGTTAGCATTGTGAACGTCCGCTTTAAAACACGATTGAATTAATTCAAGTTCAATGATATAGTGGAATAGGTATGAGTCTGTTTTATGCCAAATTGCTGAGAATGATCTTTTCTGCAAATATATCATTGTCATCACTGACGTCGAGTTAAATCCATTAGCAAATTAGCAAAGTCTTCGAATTATGCACTTCTTCAACAGGTTATTTATCATTGCGTGACATCGCCATGAGAACGGAGTGGTATCGCCATTGTCGGCTACGGTCAGATCTCTGAGTGAGATTTTTTGTATGATAATGCTCACCTACAATACGAATCATTCAGAAACGTTCTCGGATTGTATAAAATTTCCGAGAGAAGCTTTTGAATCGTTGATACGTAGTCGAACTTTAGCTTGTATCAAAATCATCTATTTAATTTCATGAAAATTGACTGATCACTGGAATTTAATCAATCAACTGACCTGTTCGTTGGTTTTTGATGAGCATATATTGATCGGGTCGAATCTTGCCTCGGTCATTTCGGCACTAATCGATTCCAACTGTTCAACTGTCAGATTCATAAAAACTCGTTGCCTTGTCGGTGCTGTTTTCCTTGCATAATTTATCGCATAGACTGTCTCGTTATATAGCGTATAAGCGCAAATCGAAGCTACCAACCAGCCATCAGTCTCTTTTTCTGCAATATTTGAAGCCATCAGATACTAATCAGAGAGATTCACGATGATTCCAGCATTTCTACAATTTCTTATAAGAGCAGTACACGTAGATGTATTTGATATGCATTTGATCGATCGCGTCAGATCACTCATTCAAAGCAAATTCAGCATGAGACAAACCTTTGATAAGACGTGAGATTTGATGAGGTTCAACATGAACATGGTTGATTTGTTCATTTGGAACGTACAAATACTGAGCTTCCGCACTAGAATAAGCTGATGGGGAAGGTGATATAGGGACAGGAGTGACTGATCCTACAGAAGGTAGCGTTTCGTTGTGGTTCAGCAATCTTACCAATCGCTGCTCAGCACTGATAATGATAACAACGACATTGACGAGACTGATGATAATAATAAGCAAAGACATTCTCAGATCAATCGAATGCGCAACAGTTGTTTCTTTTCTTGTGATCACTGAGACAGCATTGCAATCGTGATATCATCAAAAACGTGTCCATTGCGTTTTTGCATATTCATTCACGAAAGATATATCATTTCAATGGTTTTCATTCAATCGCGCAGTTCACACACCCATAAAGCAGCAGCAATTGCATGATGCGTTGTTGTATTAAAGACAGCAATTGGATCACCTTGACATAGCATAGTTTAGTTATTGCGCATTCAAGAAAAGCGAATTAATTAAGTCCATTTGTACAACACACATACGAATAACATTATCAACAAATCAAAGACAAATTTTGGTTGAATGAGCAAAAGATACATGAACAGATCAAGTGTAACAACATGCAATGTAAATTAATTATGTCATTGTGCTGTNACCAGTGCAAAACGTTACGGCCGATGAAATTAGATTAGACTGAGAAAATCGCATGGCTAACTCTCAAAGGAGACCAAGATTGAACTGAAGAGACGAGAAATGATATCGCTACGGTGAAGCAGCGAGAAATAAATAAATATTTTAGAAATATTTCCGTCTAACATGAAAGTTCTGGGCATGTCGGTGGTTTAGCACGGATACAATGGAATATGCATGCATGTTCTATGAGCTGCTGTGGCATTGAGACAAATCCTCAATAGATTCAGCACGCTTCGGCGATAGTAGAAGTTGCATTGAGATGGTTGGTGGTCACAACACGCGAATGACAAGTAATTGGTGCCTTGTAAAAGGGCAGAATCAAATTCTATGGTGAATCTGGTTGCAGATGTACTTGCGGTTCCGGAGTTGCGCGTGTTGGCAATGGAAAACTGGGGTTTAATAGTGGTACGTCAGAAGTACATTGTCTATAATCCACGACTGAATAGTCTTCGTGAACGTCGTGTGGTCACCGATGTTCTGGCACATGAAGTGGCTCATATGGTGATTGCTTTGATCCACTTTGATAATCAGATTTGATTTCAGGATTTTATGATATGGTGATTTGATTTTAGTGGTTGCTTCGAATGGAACATTTCACTTTTAATGTTCAGAAAACTCATGTAGAAAAATCTATTTCAACTTTAGGCTACCTATAATAGATGTTTAATAACTAATGAAAGTCTTTGGAATGATAACGAGCACAGTCTCTGGGTTCTATCAGTTTCAGTTTAACCGAAAATAATTCACGAACATCAGACGAACAATTCAACAAAATGGATTGATATTCATATTTTTCATATGGCCATCAAATTCCCAATATCATTCAAACACTTCAAAACATTCAAGAAATAGCTAACGAAACTTGAATCTGTTCCTTACTTCATACGATTCACTGCAGTGGTTCGGTAATTTGGTCACCATGCGATGGTGGAATGACTTGTGGCTAAATGAGGGATTCGCTTCTATGATGGCACCGAAAGCTGCCGATCATGCCGAGAATTCAACACTTCGCACTGTATGTTGCCGAATGTTTCTGAAAGAAATTATTTCATTGAATTATATTTCATTCAAGCAAATCACTGTAATTGAAGTGAATCAGTCAGATTCCAATTAAGACAACATGAAATCAATCCCTTGACCAAGTCAGATTGCGTGATTTCCAGTTGATGTGAATCCATCAGATGGTTTTAACTGATGAAAGTTTTTCTGACGGTTTTAGTTCAGTTAATGGAAAGGTTCAATCGCATGATTATGATCAGAAATATTGACTTTCCTCAACATTTTCCAGAGTCAATATTTTACGGCCGATGTGGCACTGAAGGCGCTATCGAAAGATCAACACGCCAGATCAACACAACCACTGAGTCTGAAGAAGAATAGTGATCGAATTCATGGACAGGACAGCAAGATTCTTTACAATAAAGTATTTCCTCAACAAATTATTTCTCGGTTCTCATCTCGTGTGATTCGACAAAATTGAACGAATCCAGTGCATAATCAGTTACAATTTTAGTGTTGGGAACCAATCACAAGATTTTTCTCGGTGTTCACCAACCGAGAGCGCTGTCAGTGATTACCGCAACTCGGTATCACTGACGGTCGGGGACCACCGTCGGAGATTACCGATTTTCGGTGGTCACCGACCCAACACTATTCAATTTGATGCTCTAACAATTTCAACGGATATTCACTCAAAACTGATTATGAAATGAAAGCATGTGGTGTACACTTTCAGGGTGCTACAGTGCTCCGTATGGTCGAATCAACGCTAGGTGAAGACGTCTTTCGACGTGGTCTAAATCCGTATCTGCGAAAATTTGCCTACGCAAACGCTGATAAGGATGAATTCTTGGAAACCTTCGGCGCGTACGTATTCCATCTTGCTTTTCCACTATAGGAGTTTGAATGTTGTTGCATCCATTCATTTGTCATTCGATATTCGTAATCGATCGGGCATCTGATTACTCGTAAAATTTCTGGCCCATTGATATGATGATAACAATAGCGCGATCTTTCAGTATGTTCAACGAAAGTGTCCATCGAAAGGATGCGTTCGTTTCGTCGAATTTCGGCGTATTCGAGTTCATCGACTCATGGATTTATCAACCTGGATTCCCACTTCTTAAGGTTTCCCACTTCCTTTGCTCTTTTACTCAAATAATTCATCTGTAAGAAATTGTACTCTGTCAAGACTGTAAAGCCATTTCATAATTTCGCACGATCGATGCACTATGCGAAGCAGTAAATTACTGAAGCGTAAGGTTTTCATTCTGATGTCAAATCAAGCATTCGAATCTATCACTGAGACCTAAACACAAACCAAATCCAACGTATATGAGATATCCATACTGATAAAACCTCTCAACTGTTTATAGTGTTTCAGGTACGTCGTATACGAGGCCATTTCGAGATCTCACAAAGTATATTCGATCTGGATGAAAGTGCAGATCTAGCGCATTTACAGTGGAAAGTACCGATATTCACTGAACATGGCGATAAACGTGGTGTTATTTGGTTGAAGGAAAATGAAACTGGTACGGATTTGTTATATTCGCATCTCTCGAGACAAAGTTATTGACAACGAACACCTATCTGATGCAGTTCGAATGTTTTCAGTGCTTATTGAAAACCACAGACGACCGTTTGTGATCGATTTTGATTCGCATGGTTATTATCGAATTGATTATGATGAGGAGACGTGGAATGATATCATTGAGTTGTTGCTAACAAGACATGAGGAATTACCCGTTTCTACACGGCTGAAACTGCTCGGTTGGTTGTGCTGATTGTAACTGATTCGAGTAATGACATGGTCATATGCGAAGTTTAATCGCAGATTGGTTTTCGTATCTTCAATGAATTTCAATGGCTGATCTTAGGAGAGAGTCAGGAAACGGCTCACTATATGTGCCGTACATCAGATTTTCGGATGATTCTTTTCGATCTAACAGTAAGCAATAGATCAAATGCTATTTCAGCATAACACTAGAAAAGTTTTGGCCACAAAGATTTTGATTGAGCATTTCTCCAGGAATTTTTGTGTGTAACAAACATCGAACTATCATCAGTAAATCAGCGGATAACAAGCCTAATAGCAAGAATAAGTGA